AGGCAGTAGAGGAGTTAAGAGGGAGTAAGAGTTTCACAGGCAGTAAGTTAATTTTTAATTAAAAATTCCATTTATCTTCCAATTCTATATTCAACCGTCGTCAGTATGGAAAACATTCGCTTGATATCATGCTGCCCGCCGGTATTAAATGATTGAAATATTCACCGTAGCGTATATTTTAAAAATACCTATTTCGCACATTCCATACATTGTGCATTCTCGCAGAAAAATCCTTGTATCAGAAACAACAGATCTAAAGTACCTCCGGGAGTCAACCCGGTTAAAATCCCCCATGGAAGAACGAGGTAGCTGGTTATTATTGACCGCGAGAAACAAAAGGTCGAATCATGCTAGTAGAGGCTTACAGAAAGAAGGATTTGATCAATGGTGAATACAAATGTACGAATTAATCGCTGGAAGCAGCTCGATCAACTTCAGGCATTTGTCTAATTAGATTTAAACCATTCGTTTAATTTAATATTTTCTATGATTTTCCGTTAAAACTGATTAGCGTTTATCTTTTTTTTTTCTTCTATTCCAACATTTTTATCGAAATGATAAAATGATAAAAATGGATAAAGCGAATTTTTTCTTCCATTATAAAATACACTCTTTTTCTACATTTGTTGTCATTTACAAATAACTCACATCTTTATTACCGAATAAGTCGGTTTATGACATTCATTTACAGGATATCAATAATGCGATAGGATAGTATCGGAAATTGCAATTCTCGTCCGACAACATCTCCATGATATCAGCGTTGCGTTATATAGTACTATAATAGCGACACGGCCTTACGCGATTTGCAAATAGACTAGTAGAGTTACATACCGATACTATTTCACCATCCTGCTCTAAAATGTTATTAAACCGTATTACACATCTAGTATCGCTCAGTTATTAGCGGCCGACAACTTTATTCAGCTCGAATACGCGAGCCTATTCGAATTTTGACAAACATTGCCAAAGCTTTGGAAATGTAATTTGAAAACAGCGTGCGCCATGATAAAACACAAGATAATGTCTCCATTTACTTCGACCGAATAAAAACAATCAAAATCAAACACAGAATAATCTACGAATCTTCGCATCAGCTGAGTGCTGATTCATATTTTCTGTAAATCTGAGCCCAAATCTTATGAGCAATCCACGTGTGCGCAAATGTACCACTAGTTCTGGGAGCGGTCATCCAAACTGAGATTCGATTGTGTTCACTCCGCTAGGTTTTCGCCGCACGGAGAATTAATAGAGGTTTCCATTGGCGGCACAGGCGCCATCCCTGGCCGCAGGGCATATTTTCTCTCGTGCACAGGGAGTGCGTGCAAGCCACTCGGCCCGTTTCGAGGTACAATAAATCAACATTTCACCGTTGTCCGGCGAAATTAAGGAAACCCTTGATCTACGGGCCATCCACGCTCGATTCCTGATGTACGGCGTGGCCCGGACTTTTGTATGTCCACCCCCGCATTGTGCTGCTTCAATGGATCTCACTACCGTGCCATGGCGCTCGGATTCGTTTCTTTCCTATTTTCTCTCCATCTTTTACCTTCGAAACTGTCGAGGGGATCCATTCATGTCGTCAATCCGCGTAAAATCGTCACGCAAGACGTGACACGGAGAACAACCTCTTGAATAAATTTAAATCAAATATCACGTAACAGATTATATTTTATAGAAAATAATTATCTTTTTATATATAATGCAAAATTAAACAGCCTTGCCTTATTATTAACTCGACGTATACTTTCTCGTGTATAATCTGCATACACACGTTGTAAACATGCAATACGTACATACATGACACGCGGACACGTATCACGATTTTAGTAGCCTTATTCCATAACACATTGAAATTTCAACGTGGCAGTATGTCACGACCATGATGATGACAGTAATAATAATGATGTTTACACCAACTGTTTACAACTGTCATTGTCGCTAACGTTGATGAAAATGTTCAATACTACATTAAAACGGAAGTATTATTTCGCCGGCAAAAAAGAAAAAGAGAGAAAAATGAATAAAGCTGCAATAATAAATGGCGCTCCGTTAGTCCCATTTTATTGAAAATCGTGGGCCACGTTTAACTACCCAGACGGTGGGCGAGTCATGACGCGTGACGTCATCATCAAAGATCCTTTAATACTGACATCTTTTTCATGCTACGTCCTTTCTGTATTCAACCGGGCCATATTTCAACAAACCTTCTCCCTACGAAATCAGATCTTGCCAACTATTTACTGCCGGATGAAATCGAATTCGATAGATTTCGTGAAATTTTGTTGGAAGCAAACCGGTTCCAAAACCACTTTCATGCAAGATCCTTTTCGGTGAAATTATGGGTATTTGGTTCTTGATTCACAGAAAAGGTTTCAGTCTTTTTAGTCATTTTGAACTGTATGAATGCGATGCTCGCTGAAAAATTCAGTAGACAAGAAAAATGCATGGATAATTTAATCAACTAAAGAAACCTACAGCGTAGATGAAAAGAACTGTGTCAAGCAAAACATTTCATAGAACTCTGCCTCAACAAATATTTATCTTAATGGTAAAAGAAAAACCTTTTTTTATAATTAGAAACATAAAAGAAATATTAAAATATTTCAAGTATATTAAAATATTCATTAAAATTAAAAACGGAATTAAAAAAAGAATTGTAATTTAAGAAAACTTACTATCTTAATTTAAAAAATGGCACACACGAATTACATTAATTTTAAAAAACAAATATCTACAACAGAATGGATTGTACGTGGCTTCTATTAATATATAATATTTGGAAAGAAGAACAAACACAATATACGCATATACGTATCAAATTAACAACAAACATTATCGGTTTTACCTAAAACTTGATCTTAAATTTCAAAAAATATCGAATGATTTAGGTCAAGGTATCGTTGATTGTGTTGTTGGAATCTCGAGAATCTCGGGATGAGAACGAGAGAGAGAGAGAGAGAGAGAGAGAGTTCGCGGGCAAAATCAACTTTCGTCAATTTCCTGTTGATATCTTAATAGCCCCAGGATCCTGGCGCGATGCGATAGTGTCGACTGTGCCGGTCTAGAGGGAAGAAGATGATGAGGATCAGACTAATTCACAAGAATGGGCCACTGTGTGTGCCCACCGGAACTTCCCTCCGACCGGCAAGGATAGGCCATCAAACTGATTGTAATCAGACCACCCTTCGTCTCTGACGGTCCACTTCTATTTTACCCTTCCTATACTTTCCACCAGCGGCATACTACGCATTCAGAGTAACTGATGCCCCTGGTAGAGATCTTCCGGCGGTAACTCGATTTTTGACTACTCGTCTTGATCTATTCCTGGGAATCAGTGTGGATGAAACCATATTGAATGAAAGAAAGGGTGCAGATAGGAGAGAGGCAAAACGAAAGACCAGAAAAGAGAAGCATATTTTATCGAGCCGATGTGCGAGGCTGTACCGCAACGCCCGCGACTTGCACTCGACTGCACGACCGTATGCGAATCGATAATTTATCCCTCCAAAAGCTTACTTCGCACACCGTTTCGTTGCGCCCATCCTGGCTCGGATGGTGAAATTGCACAAGTTTTTACGAGAGTAAAAAGCATATGTAATTAAGAGAAATCGTGGCGTTCGATGCGGTAAGAGAATCGACAAATTGATGCACTCATACTAAATAGAACAGATTTCAAAAGGCGCGCAATAGAGTGGGATAATTAGGAATAAAATAAACGAGTATCATTTATTGCCTCTTGAGAATACCGTAACTTCATATTAGAGATATCCATAACTCCCAAAGCAATCGCGTTTTCAATCGCATTTCGATCAACGAGAAATGCAAGCACGTTTAGTACAAATGTATTAGAGCACTTATAATTCAATCTTGTGGAATAACATTAGCATACATTATGTCATACGATGTGTCGGTTTGAAAATTCGATGCGGCACTTCTGAAATGATAAATGTTTGCATAATGTTATTTAACATAATATTATTTTGTAATCAGACGTCATCACAAATTCTCGTTTGCCTTCTCCAATGAATAATGATACTGTTGCATATTATTACACACAGTTTTGCAAATAAAACTCTTGTAACAATTCAAAATTAATCGTCATTTCCAAAAATTCACGTTCTGCAAACAGCATTGAGATCGATCGTTTAAAATGGCTATGTGATTAATAATTACTTATTAATTATTATCCATTTCAGATGTGCTCGACAACCTGCAGCATTTGTTCAAAAACAGCTGCGATTAATAATTATTTATCATCGCTAACCAGTCCGTATATTCATGTAGGAAATGATTAAATTACTACCGTGTCTTTACATCAACTCCTATTCTCCATCGAGTTATTTTGAAATGTCTATCTTAGAGGTCGCATCTTGTGTATTATGAAAGATCTTCGATTGTCGGAGCGTTCTCGCGCGTAATTTCCCGCGATATTTTATTTTCTTTGTATTTATGCCAGATATTTTAGACCGAATCATGACGCTGTTAGCGAAGGAGTGTCCATTACTAATTTAATGAAGAGATATTCTCAGAACAGCTAGGCGTGTTATTTATTCAGTATGTGACAACTATATAAACACGAATATTGTAAAATAATATGCATAAATCAGTTATATTAAAAACCGATTTCACGAATATTTATGTTTCGTTTTTTGACATAGAGATGAATATAGTAAACATTAATTTTAATTTTAAAAGGAGCTTCATAGAGAAACATTAATCTTTTATCAAGTTATTGAATTTTTATCTATACTTTTTGTTGGATCACTGACAGCGAAATTTAATCATAAAGATATATGTTTGAAACGGGAATAACAAAATAAATATATTTCACATTTTTCGTTTCTATTCAGTTTTATGGTATGTTCTCATTGCTAAAAAAATAATGTTCGCCAATATATCATCATTATTCTCCATCCAAATTCTTTCTGCCAAAAATTTACCGCATTGTTTATTTTTCCAGAATGTATCTAATCGTCTCGTAAAAATTTTTGTTTCAGAACACTATCACATATTTGTTGGAGATCTCAGCCCGGAGATCGAGACACATACCTTGAGGGAAGCATTCTCAGCCTTCGGGGAGATTTCGTAAGTCTTCTTAATCTTGTTTATTAAAGACGACTTATCTTTCTATTAGAATTATATGAGCGATAATATAACGACATATAATATGTCACACCAACACTTTTCCAAAAACGTAAAATAATCTAGTTTCTGATCTACAAAGATTTTTAACATTATTCTTTTCTTCTACATTTAAAAGTAACTAATGAATATACAATCACTTCCCCCCTTAATAAATTATTATAGAATACTTACTAGAATTGTAAAGCTTATATAAAAAAACATATTTAAGAAAAAGATTTATAATATTTACTAGAATATAAAGAAGCACTCTATTTGAACAATATGAAATATTTAATTTAGGCAAAAAAAAATATTTATTTTTTTTTTGTATTTTTTAAATACTCTACAAACATCAATTAAATAACTCGTTATTCTAATATACATATATCCTAAATATAAAAAGAATTATAATATTTATATAAGAGACTCACGCGTACTGTTATAAGTCGCAAATATCGTTTGCAATCTCGATACTTCTGGAAATGCAATTTTATAAGAAAGCAGTGCTAAATCACAGCTTTACCGCATTGGGAAATGTTAGTGCTGACGATAAATAGACATAATCAAATCCCTAGAAATTGCAATAGAAGGAGAACGGAATATTTCGTTTTATCAACCGGCTTCGTAAGTTTATTACACTTTTAACGATCTCGCCCTCTCGTCCTAACTGAGCTGTTTTACGAGTTTCCATCATCGTCCGACGTTTCACGATGCACCGACGCGAACAATAATAACGCATATCTCAGCGATCGTGCGGCAGCTACCACGAGTCCTGTGACCTTGCGCTCCGTTAAACTCGCCGGTCGATAGATGCATGACGATAATATCGCAAGCACCGATACCCTTCGAAGTCGGGTGTCGCTGCAAACTAGTAGTGAAGTCGCGTCAATCTCCGCAGTCTTGATCGATTGTATCAATAAGCCAGTAACACTAAGATACTTGCATTTATACAGCAGAAGTTACAGCGGTGAAATTGATTTTATGCATCTCTGCAGACAGCCCTTATCAAGTAAAATTAATTCCCTGTTAATTTAACTCATCATTAATTTATAATAGATAAAAAACTCAAATATTTTTTATCTCTTGCATCTCTCTTTTCTTTTGCATAAAATATTATAAACAATTCTAAACTGTAATAATTAGACATAAAATTATGGAGAAACGTAAACTAATATAAAAAATTTTTTTAATTCTTTGATATATATAAATTTTTAAAATTATTCTCTTTAATTTTATTTATATACACATAATCACAAATATAATACTTGTTGACATTGTACTTCTAATGTGATAATACTCTGAAATTTTCAAATAAAGAGAATTACCTTTATTTCTAAAGGCAAATTATGCCACATATGCCGCGTACATATGCCAAGGATTCGTGATGGTCTAAGAATAGGTATAATAAGTGGCAGCACTTCGATTTCGCAAGGAAATTATGTGAGCAAAACAAAAGGAACATATTGAGCTTACATTTTGCGAGCATGCGAAGTGTCAGTAAGCCCGCGCTCTACATCGATTGTATCTGCAAACAGTATGCTACGCCCTGTGATTTTACGTGACGAAAGTCAGGGACAGTATCGCGATTTCACACCGCGATAAAACCGCAAAGTGAACGAAATAAATGTACTCGTAACTATGTGGCATTACTTGTACTTCACCGCGACATTTATTTCACACAAATATTTCTCTGGGCGGATATTTACGTTAACAACAATTTATCATCCCGCGGTTTATCATCTCTCTATATCTTGCGCGGATTAAGAATCTCAATCCGTAAAAATCGTAGAGGTAAAATCGCTCCTTCTAAAGCATATATCTTCGTATCCGTTTCTCTTGCGGCAAGAAATCTCCATTCGGATTTCGCAGCCTGATTTATTCTTGGCTCATGTAGATGCACCACCTTTGCGCCGACGAAACTTCGCGAGCATTTGCTCGATAGAAAGAAAAAAGGGAATCGTCGAGCAAGGTATCGAAATTTCAGATTCCAATCTAAACTCGGCCTTCGAGCGACAACCGTGTTCAGCGGCGAAACAGCTGGAGAGGTAGGTACAGTTTGCGCCGCTTGGTACAAGAAGACGGCAGAAAAATGGGCCCCTCTACCCCTCCCACTGGAAAAATCGATTCAAACTCGCTTCACGAGTACCTAAGCCGCGCTTTAAAAAGCTAGTGAAAAATTGCCAGCGGTTTTCCTCTTTTATTTTGTTTTTCCCAAGCCCCTTCTTCTTCCTCTCCACTACCACACCAATGCTCCTCACGCCTCTTCTATGCTCCGTCCAACGCTCCTTTCTCCGATCCCTCGTTCCTTATGCGATAAACATTCGTGATTAATTATATCTTTAGTGCGATCCATTCGATCGAGGCTGATACTATACCGCAAGGAATCTTTGTATAGCGGGTAAAATACATTACGCGAATAACAAAGAGGCAAGTCTATCTAAATTTGCTTTTGAAATAGCGTCGTTTGACTTTCTATAGTGATAAACGCAGCTTAACGCAGAAAAGCGAGTTATTACGAATTTATGTCGATATTCCGTGCTAAGCAATTTCACTATTCTTATATACATGCCGGTCAGCGTATTTCCCTCAAATATGAATAACGCCATGCTGGCGAATATCGCTTGCCAAGCGTGAAACGCGGTTTAGCGCTTCTGCTTTTCGGACAAGCCTTTATGAATATTGTACCATAAATTCTAGTTTTATATATATATATATATATATATATATATATATATATACATACATGCATGTATGTTTGTATATGATGTATGTTTCAATATATGCGTGTGATCTGTCACCACAAAATGTCATGATGGAATACACCTTTTGTTTTGATAACTTCAGAAAATTACTTATTTCTTTTCTAAAAATACTCTGTTCTTCAGCTGTTTTCCGTAAAAAGAAAATTAATGGAAAAATGTGACTTTTATATAATCTCTCAAAAATTTATTTAAACATATGATTATAAGCTCTCGAAAAACTTATATCTTGTTGGTGAACTTTTATAATCAAAAATATTTTCAGTCAAAATAAATTAGAACAAAAATTGCGTTATAAAAAGATAAGATAAAAAAAAGACAACACTTAAACTTAAAAACTCAAATAGAATGTTATTTTGCCAAAACGTTGAGATATATAAAATATATGCACGCGTCCACTCTCGTATTAAATATTATAGAAAGCGTAATTATATTTAACAAAGGGGGGAATTTAATTACAAATTGCTGATTCGCCCGCTATTGACTAGAAATTTTAACAATGCAACTTGAAATTTTAACCATGTAAATTAATTATTGGTCATAATTTACAAATGACGCAACATCGAAACATAAATCGAAGATTTAATTGATGTCATAATTACTGATAGAGCAAAATAAATATGCTTTGAAGAAGATACATTATAGATAAGATATAAGAGAGAGAAGACACAAAATGTATTTAATGATGATAACTTTAAATTCTACATTTGTTTAGTTGTTTAACGTTTCTATTACATTACTTTCATATGTAAGAAAATAAAGCGTTAAAGAATAATAACTATTTTTTATAAAAAAAACTAAGAATACCTTTCAAAACTTAGAGAAATCTACTACAATGCACTATTACAATGATTACAATAGGAAAGGGATTTCTGAAATGGTCCATTCACATAAGTACTACAACTTGCTTCAACCTATGTCTACATTTGCATACAAGCACATTGCACTTATACCTTGATTACTCTTGGAGCGATTCGAAGTAGCCACCAGGATCAAAGACAAAATAGCTTCGGATAATACAAACCGGATTACGCTCTGTTATAGCTTTATATAAAAACTCTACTGCACGGTTAATTATTATTTATTATTACACAACGCATTTTCATTGCCAATATGCAGAATTAAGAAACTACAACAAAGTAAATAGGAGATACGATAAAGCAAAAAAAAATATATAGAAGAAATACCCTATATACGAAAAGTTTTCGCGTAAGACAGAACAAACATAAAATTGACATTAATTGAATTTTATAGACACCTGATTTATAACTCATAAAATGCTACAACACAATACGATAATTAAACATTTTATTATTCAAACCAATAGTGCCATATATAAAAATATAATACGATAACATATGTAGGGTTATAAGATCGAAGAAGCAATTCATGCATGTTGCTCTCGGGAGTGCCGCTTATAGTCACGTGTTTTGGGCATTTCCGTACAGCGTTAGGCCGTTAGTGTCACAGCTTGATCTCGGCGGAGAACCAAAGCTCGCTTTCAGGTTTAAATGGTGGTTAAGTAAGCTGCACGGTCGTCTCGCCCCAACTTAACTGCCCTTCGACGATACACGTACCGTCTAATATACACATTCACGCCGTGGCACACAGGCGTGTTGCTATTAAACGTGCGCGCACGCTCGCGCATGCAAACGCGACTAACACGTTTCTAGAAAGAGGGGGAGGGAGAGAGAGAGAGAGAGAGAGAGAGAGAGAGAGAGAGAGAGTCCGGCGCGCGTAGCTTAACTTATGATACACGAAGGCATCGTTATAATCGGGCTTCTGCAATTTTGCACGTCCACCGACTACACCCCGCCACTATCCAGTTTTAATCCATAGATCTAGGACTTGAAGGAAATCTGGCGCGACGTCGGCGGAATCTTGGCAAAAGTATAACGAGTAGTGGCTCGGCGTGTCCCCGAGCAGCGCCGCGCACATTGCCGTATCCGAGATTTCGTTATTAATATTTAACTACGGCGGAAAGATTAAAAAGTTTTAAGGAATTTTAATATAGCCGTCCCCCGGAGAGTCGTTTCCATGCTGAAACCTGCGCCAGACGTTCTCACACGGATGCTGCTGCGTCAGCCACGTGTGCGACCACATATACCGTGCGCGAATGTGTGTGTGTGTGTATATATATATATATATATATATATATATATACGCGTATATGTCATACACGTGTAACCTGCACACGTGTGC